TGTCAAACTCTCGTGCTTGCCACATGGATGCATTGTCCACAACGCTAGTGCATCTAGTGGCTAGACAGAAGCTCTGCGTGCAACCGCATCTTAAAGCCCGATTGTTGAGGGCTCTCGATATTTCTTCTTTTGAGCTGTGAAGACTCCTTTTCTGTATCACTGGAGAGTATTTAGCTGTCGATTTATGAGCGGCAGATGCTGGCCATGAGCTCATAAGGTGAATTTATGAGATGGTGCACAAGCGGTGTTGCTTTGAGCAGTGGTCAAGATAATAGCGGATGTGGTGGTTCTACTGGCTGCACCCAGCGCAAGAGCGGCAGCCGACGGCGCTCAAGCCTATGCACAATGTATAGTGCACATCAAAATGGCCGCCGACTTGGCTGGTAATTGAGTGTAAACAGACCTGTTGCGTAAGGAAATTGGCGTCCGGCTGGTGGTGGCAAGAGGTGCTGAAGCGTGGTACATCAATTGGATCTCGTCGAGGCGAGAGCCCCTCCACACATGCCAACCGCGGGCATACGGTAGTTAAAAGGCGAATATGGCGTCGCTACTGCCACCAATAACATTTGCATCCGGTATGTGTTGGAATCTATGCATCGCCATTTTCGGACGATTTATTTGAAAGTGTGAAGAAGGTGATCTCATTGGCCTCTTATTTGGGACGTTGAGGCAAGTGTAGTCCACGCTAGAACAGCCAGGTTTGAAGAGATACTGTACGAGTGTATACTGTTGGATTGACGTGGAGGTGAGGGGTTCCCATTAGAACGTGTACAATTGATTCGCGGTCCTGCACAGAACCTTACGGGATATCATTATGGACCAATTGGTTTATGAACAGGCAACTTTACGGACCCATAAGCTCTTCATGAAGGGCAGTTTAGACGAAAATGGACGAAAAAGGGGTTTGCCTGGCCCTAAGATGAATTCTCGCTGATTTGTTTTCCTTGGTCTTTTTTGAAGATATCATTTCTTTCTCCACAGGAAAAAGCTAAATGCGAATCGGCTTTCACACATGTTTCCAATCGCCTTCCTCGCCTTCTAAAAAGGCAATCATGGGTAGAAAAAAACCGTAAACATCACTTCATGTTACGATTTATCTGTAAACATAGTGTGTGACATCAGATTCCGTAATGAAGTCTCATTTTAGCTTGTAAGGCCCAAATGAGCCCTACAAGCGTTCGATTATGCTTTGTCTTCTGATTGCGTTTGAAGGTCATGAAGGCTTGTAATGATAACAAATGTCATTTAGGACAAGATAAGTGTTTTCTTCGAATTTTTATCGGCATGGAGTTTGAGAAATATTATGGCTTGCTATTTTTGAATGGAAGTTAGGTGCATGGCGTAACCGCTAAGTCTTTTGTTGTTATTGGGATTGTGAGAGCTGCATAATAGAATAGGCGCCCATTTTTCAGCTAGAACACTTGAAAACACCAAAACTTTCGTGGAGACAATTCCTTCGATTAAGCGTTTGAGAGACTCAAAAGTAGCGTATAGGAAACTTGAATTGGCAGTAATTTTCTTCAATTATTGAACTTTGCTATTAATTATTTTTGCCTCACTTTAATTTTTTCTTCAGTTTGTACACCCTTATTAAGTATGTTCTGTGTGGTAAATCTGTGGTAGCAAGTCGAATTCTTCTTACCTAAAAGTAGCACCTACAGGTTTCCCTAACCTTGTCTCAATACTTCCTAAAATTAATAGCACCTTGATACTCTATGAAATCAAACAAGAAAACCTCCCCTTTCAGTAGAATCAATGAATGCGGTATTTCAGGCTTGGACCCACATTGGGTACGTCAAGCGGACATCGGTCTACCTCGTCCCGACGTTGTGCTCTTCTTCGAAGTCTCACCGGAAGTAGTTAAACAAAGAGGGGGTTACGGTGATGAACGTCTTGAGAGCGATCAGCTCCAACGGAAGGTTCATCATGCAATGAAAGAGCTGAGTAAATGCTACTGGCAGGTGAGCCTCATTTCCCACCCAGGCCCTTTTTTTCATATCAAATCAATATTTAAGACTGTAAATGCCGACGGGGATATGGAAACGGTCGAGGCAGTCGTTCAGGATATCTATTCGAAGATTTCGCGAGAAGAACCTCTGGGAAAAATCGATTCTATTTGATTATTTCTATGTTTTTAGGCCTAGCCGGATTTTGTTCCTTGCCAATTGTCTGTATATGAGTCTATTTATTGCACCCATGTTTGCCGTAATTTTTTAAGAGGGTAGCCCCTGAGCTATGTGTTGATGGGGATGTACGGAAGGCGGTCGAGCCGAGAGCGCCGACACGACCCTTAGAAGGTGCTCGCTTCCGTTCCGTTCGTCCAAGGTGCATTGTCTCACCGGAACCAATTAACGGCAACAGGTGCCCCTCCCTTGCTGGCTAAATCGCGCCTCAATCACTATAGCAGGTCGAATTCGAATTGATGAATCTTGCCATATGTTGTAGTGCTTTTCCTTACAAGGTCACATCACCTTTAATTGTTGAAAAAAAAAGAACCGGCGCTCGACAGCAATTTATTTGTGGTTTATGTCTTTCTCTGATTGTGTGGGTGTGTAAAACTGGTGAATTGTTAACAACTTCAAATAAATCATTTATAGGGTTTTCGTTTGAATGACATGAAGATAGCCTTGTTAAATACATATATACAAGTATCTTTGTCCTTTATCGCTCGCTATTTGGCCTGAAATGGGTATTGGTTAAATTTATCTGTGACCAGAGTACGGTATAAGGTGATCACAGTACCTAAATCTTGAGCATGGTGGCAAGTGGGAGATCGGGACTAGCGTCGTGCTTCTTCAGATGCCGATCAAGGTTCGTCTGCTGCCCGAAGCATCTATCACATCGTGGACAACGAAACGGTCGTTCCTGAAAGGGGTGCGTTTTTGGAGCAGAAAGAGGTTTTCAGGGCTGAGTTCGAGCTCATACCTTGTTGTGGATATTCCGTACATGTCGTTGTAAATTTGAGCTGATCGAGAAGGACCGTTCGCAGTACTGGCACTGAAACCACAGGATGAAATTATGGTCAATTAGACAATCCATAAGTCATTTCAGCGGCATGTATTGAGTATCATGGCTCGCGTAATTGGTGCCAGATGATACTCAGATGTATGGGAGCCGTGCCGCATACACCACACAACCCACCTTATATGGCTGCTCTCCGGTGTGCGTTCTCAAGTGGCGCGTCAAATTCGCTGAGCGTGGGAACACCTGATATGATGAGATCATAGGATACGGCACAGTCACTAATAAACCCAAGCATTTCTTACCTTCTGGCAAAATTTGCACGTGTATCGATCCTTTGTGGTCTTTGTGACTTGAGGACTAACGGCATACGATGAAGGGGTCGAGTACGGAAACGGTCGTTGTAATAACGAAAGGAAAGCTGGAGAACTGAAACATGAAGAGTTCCAAATTAGCTGGCAACTCAGGGAAGAAAGTGATCGAACCTGAACGGATTCATTGTCGGAGTTAGACAAGGCTGAACGGATTCGGCTCGTTTTGCGAACGATGACAGCTCGTTCTCGTCTTCATTGCCAGAGTCGTTGCTTTCGCATTCCGATTTTCGCTCTTCTCGTTTCGTCGTCAAGTCCAGCGGACTTGCTTCGGCTTCTGAGCAGGGACTTCCTTTTCGTTCATAAGGCGAGTGCTCACTCGTATGGCCGCTGGAAAAGTACCATCTCGTCCTTAATTTTCAGATTTTGAACAAACTTTGAATTTCGACTTTTCTGAAGCTTCCGCTACAAAAGTCAGAGCTTCAAAGTGAAGTTGGATATATGGCATGTTCATAAACGTGTAAGAAAATCTCGCATAATCGGGTGCACGGCGCAGACCAGGAGGTCAGCTACACATGATACTTTACGCCTTTTCACTGTGAAAGAGAGAAGTGGTTTCCCGCGAAGGCTATCGAATAAAAGTGAAATCAAGGGCGCCGGATCACTCACCTTGATTGCGGTGAGCTCTCAATGTCTGAACTGGCGTTCAGCATCTTGTACGCATCCATTTGTCCGTACATACCCATAGGAACAGAATGCATCTTAAAGAAGTAGTACTGAAGACAAGTACTGAAGCAGCTTGCGTAAGAGAACCCTTACCTGTGTGGCGATATGAAGAAGATGCGGCCAGTAGTTGGGGATCATGTGGGCGGACAGGCCCGGTATGGGCATGTGAGGAATCAGCGGTTTGTAAAGAGCAGATGCCATTTCGCACAAAGTTCGATGTTTCACAAGAGCGTTATGCGACGGTAGTGATTGTTGGCAGATGGGGCACTGCCATCCATCCTGATAATGACGAAGTTAATCAAACAAGTTGTAGACGTCGAAAACGAAAAACAACTGACCAGGTGAATACGCCGATGTCGACAGAGGTTGGAAAATTGCGTATAAGCCTTGTTGCAGATGTGACAGCGAAACGGCTTTGAACTGCAGTGAATATGCGAGTGCTGCTTGAGGCCGCTGAAATGACAGACTTCGAGTAGGACAGGTAACCAACTGACAGCAACCGGGTCAAGTCTCCCGTCCCTGATCAAGATGGAACCACGAGGAGATGCGTTACAGTGGAGATGGTGGCGCTGAGCAAATAGACACACGCACACCAGCTAATGCATCCAGGCACACCTGAGGACACTCCTCAGCTCTCAGTATCCCTTTCACATTACCGTATCCTCTGCCCGAGCGGACAGCTGGTACTCACTTGGCTCTCACTCGTCTGAGTAAACTAATGGCAAGATGATCATGATGTCGATAATAGAGACTCACCTAGCACTTGAGAAACTCTTCGGGCACAATGCACACTTGTGAGCTTGACCTTCTGGAACTAGCTGACCGGGTTCGAGTTCACCGTGTTCACGTGGTTCGTTGACTTTTAGAACGCTTGAAGGCTCATCACAAAGTCTGGAAAGTTAGGAGTCGTATGAGCGTGGTAGTGAAGAATATTGGGAAGAGCTGGAGATGAGAGGCTGATGGACGACGTTATGTATGTGACTAGGATTTCGCTTTCCTTATGTCGTAATTGAGGTCAGTAGAGCAATCGTGGAAAATGCGAACAGTTAGTCAATGTGAGATAACAACTGCTGCGGCCGTTCAGATTGAGTGCGCCGAACACCGCGCTCTCGACGGGGTCTGCAGAGTGTGCCGACGGCCGTTGGGCAGACATACAGAGGGTGAAAGACTCGTATGAATTTGTCAAACTGAACGACACCACTCACTGTTCTTGCTTGATCTCCTCCTCATCTTCCTCCACATCTTTTTCCTCTTCCTCTTCCTCTTCTTCTTCATCTTCAGTAATACTGCCTGTATATCGTTGCATCAGAAGACGTTCTCCACATGCAATATCTCGAGATGTTTGCAAGTAAGTCTGAACAAATAAAAATAAACACTGCGAAACTTAAGGGAGGAAAGCCTTTTACAGACCCTGTTGTCAATTTGCCTGATAGTAATATTCGCTTGATTCCTATCGTCTGCTTCTTTGATGAGATTCAAAATGAGTAACGCATTCGGATCATTTGTAGCTTCCTACAAAAACACGGAGAATTGTCGAAATCGATTATAACCACGGAGATGGGAAGCTTCAGCAATGAATCGCCGGCTTACCTTATCGATGACTCCGATGAGTTTTCCTGAGCGAATAATCGAGAGCGCGTTCAGCGAGTTGCCAAACATCTCGTCTGTCTTCACTTCGACATTTCGAAGAAATTCACCGTCAATACTCATAACTGCTGCTGCTACTGCTACCGTAGGAAGAGCGGCGCGGTGATACCTTAAGCGGCGAGGATGCTTGAGGGATGCACAGCTCGTCGGCGCCACGCCCACCACGTTGCGGCGACCAATCAGAGTCGGCGGTGGGCGGTGCCACGAGAGTGCGAAGACTCGCATGGATGCGCTCGCTCACGAAATTACGGTAACAGCGATGAAGATGAGACATGAATGCTATTCGTTTTGATGGATTTTACAACATTGTTATGGTAATGGAACCATCTCGAACAAGTGAATAGCATAACAATATAGCCAAGATGCTTAGAAGGTAGTTGTCAAGTCCTTTTATGGAGAATGCCTGCTGATTTTTTCCTTTAATTCATTCCAGACTTTAGGAGCTTCTTCGAAATGAAGGAATAAAGTTTCTAAGTAGGGGTGATCGGCGATGTTGGGTGCACCCATAATCTTTGGTTCGATTTCCCAGTCGAGCTAACGACGTCGTCTATTGTTCCGATGCCATCTAATTGGCATCAGATTTGTGCACGAAGGGAAAGCCATCATCTTGAACGTCATAGGTCTTCTAAAAGTCATTGCCTAGCTCCCTTAAGCTTTCCAACAAGGAGACAAAGCAGGATGAAAGTGATAAGCATGGCGCATTTCAAGAAAGGTGATCATAGCTCTTTACTAGGTCGTTTCGTTTTCCCCACGCCTCAAGGGTAGCAAAGACAGGATGAGAATTGCTTGAGACTCTAGGCGAAACGAAGTGATTGAAACAGGATTGAGTCTCACGGCGAGTTCTTCAAGAATGTTCTAAATAAGTCGATGTTTAGTCTAGAAGGCAATGTTTGTCGATAAATAGTCGCATTTTTGAGGATGCGTATACCGTAGGCGATGCGACAATGCGTTCGACGCATCGGGGCTCGATTCAACGGCGGCGAGCGCTCGTTCGAACAGAGGCTCCGTTGGCTGTCAAATTTCAGGGGGAATCCAGACGACATTCAAGCAAACATCACCCACAAATGATTTAGGACGAACAATGCGATCAAACAGCAAAGATCCTCGGAAACAGCTGACCGTCATTTCGCTGAAGAAAGGTCAGAAAGAAAAGGCTTGAAGACGAGAATGATAGGGCAATTGATGAAACGCTTAGGGAGCAGACTCGATTAATGTCTGATGATCGGAGAGCAGAGGTCAAGATGTCGTTATTCACCAAAACGGATTAGGAGGCCAAATGAGGACAGGTGATAGGTGACAGCTCCTCCCAATATGGCCATTGGCCACGCCCACACTTCCGAAAGAGCGCCATTGTGCTGAGCAAATTTATTGAACCATATGTGTACTTTAGTATGTTATACGCGTTTTCAACTGGATTTTCTTACGTGGGTGGTCAGGCACAGGAAAGAATCGGAGGTTCAACAAACTTCCAGCTCATTCATGTGGAAGCAATCCCCTTAACTCAAGCCTAGGAGGCAATGCGGGTGTTCTGCTTCACTTTCTCACCCTTTTAGTGTCATTCCTAAATGAAGCATGGCTGTGGGACAATTCTTTTTTTACTTTTGATTGAATATCCGGAATTAAAATTTGCCCAGGGGTGCCAGGATGGACCTATAAATAAGTTCTCATTGTAAAGAGGGTTACTAAATTCCGTTTCTCCTACCTACCGACATCGAGAAAGCGCCAAACGACAAAAGTATCCGATCTGCCTTGCTAGCGAAGACTTATTGATGCAAAATCTGGACAGTACGGCCATTCCCTAAGGAATTTCATCGTTAAGAACGCCAAGAGGGATTACAGTACAGCCGTGCAAGAT